GCATTGTTTCTAGTACGTTCCTTGTCCAATTGGTGAAGAAAACAATCTATTTTTAAAAAGCCTGTCTCCCTCATGGTTTGACTCTAGCATTTCCCAATCTGTATGTCTAAAATTTAAATCACCAGTAGTTATGACCTCATTAACAGCTAGAACCTAAACCTCACTGAAAAGTTTCCTATTAGAAACATTTACCCTTTATATCTGCTTGCATAAACCACAAATGGTTTCAATCTCCTTGTTATCGTCATTCATATTCCCAAGTTCAACAGGATGAAACTCATATTCTACATATAAGCCCAATCCTCCCCCTCTCTCTTTAGTGCTCTATCCCTACTAAATAACCTATAACCCTATATTTCAAAGGACTTTCTATCATAAAAATCATCTACATTTAACCATGTTTCAGTTATTCCCATTATATCAAAATTACCCATTCCTACCAGTGCCCTAAAGTTATCTATTTTATTTCTTATACTTTTAGCATTACAATAGTAACAACTAAGCCTATCCCTAGAAATACTTCTATACTCCTAGGCTAAACTTTTCTCTACATTTTATTTTTGTATTTAGTTTATCCTGGCCCTCACCAAGTTCTAGTCCTATATTAAATCTTCCCTTACAGCTGAGTTAATAGCCCCTGAAAACAAGCCAGACACTATCCTATTTAAATGTAAACCATCTATTCCTAAAAGCTCCTTCCCTCACTGAACTGATCCCACAAGTTCAACCAGCCTATTTGCTCATCCTTACATATTAACCTAAGCCTACATTTAGCAATAATGACCTACTCATAATTCCATCGCCCCAATTAATTCTCGGCAATATCCCTGACACAATTAAGTTATGGCATTTTGCTTTAAATGCCTTTATCAGCCCCTTGTACTTATTAATTAGCTCCACTGATCTACCTTTCCCTACATCATTAGCCCTACGTGCACAACAAAAACTGCATCATTGCTAGCCCCCTTTATAATATCTCTTGCTCTGTCAGTTATATCCTCCCCATGTGCTCCTGGGTTGCATATTCTAATTCTTTTCTCCGCACTTACTCCACAGACTATCTTATCCACATGCCTTGTCAAGGAATCACCTATAGCTATAACCTCACTAAGTTTATCATTCGCATACTTCTCTGACCCTTTTGTTTTCCTTCCCTCCAATAGTTCTTCATCTGCACAAGGCACTAGATTAAATGTGGCTGCCATTTTTTCTCGGCCCATCCCTACATACTGTTACGACAGCGGAAGTCACGTAACGCTGCTGGCGTGTTGTCGCTGGTGGCGTGCGTGATGAGTATCTCAAATGATCGGGGAAGTTCGAGTGTGTTGGAAATGCTCTCTTTGTTAGTATATAAGCCTGGCAGATGAAAGCCAATGCAGGGGGATATATAAATGAATAGAGAGCAGTACTTACTTTGAGTTCCGTGTAATTTATGATTCTGTTAGTTTCGAGCTAGTGAGCTATAAGGTGTTTGTTTTGCACTCGTCGAGAGCAAAATTATCGAGATTGTGAATCGCTTTGATTTATAGCGTGTATCATAAAAGTTGTTAAGTTTAAAGTGACGAGAAACGTACTGATTGTTGAACTACTGTGTACTAAAAGTTTGTATAGATGAAGAATAAACTGGTTTAATCAAGAAAGGACTGCTGAAGATCCTCGGTAAGAATTTCTACCAGAAACAAACAAACAAGCATATACGTAACAAACTGGTATCATAGAGTGGGATGGAATGCAAATAAAACTACAACTTAGTAGATTCGTTGGCAGCAATACAACAACAGCAATAGACACAAGAAGAGAGACTACAGCAGTGGTTGGAGGAGAAGGAAAAGAAACAAGAAGAGAGGCTACAGCAGTGGTTGGACGAGAAAGAAAATAAACAGGAAGAGAGACTACAGCAGTGGCAAGAAAACCAGCACCAGTGGCAACTGGAACAAGAAAGGAAACAAGAAGAACGAGAAAAGAAACAGGAAGAAAGTCTCTAACAGTTGCGGGAAAGTCAGCAGCAAATATAGGAAAGTCAGCAACAGTGGCAAGAAGAACAAGGAGAGAGAGAGTACAACATCAGCATGAAGTACAAATGGAAAAGATTAGTAAATTTCAAAGTGAATTGAATATATTATAGGACGATTTACTGTCT